GGAGCTTATACCAAGGGCTCAAGTACAAAATGTTTTGGAAATGATGATGGCAACATATTTACAAATATACTTGATACAATTGATGTATGGAATGTTATAAGAGCTGTATGAGCCCCCAATAAAATGATTTATTGAAAAAAATAGAGATAAAAGACATTACATAATAATAAAAGGCAATCCTGCAAGAAGATATAACAATTATAAATATTTATGATCCTAACATCAGCGTCCCAAAATATATGAAACAAATTTGAAAATATATGAAGAGCTAAACTTCAAAGCTGAAATAACTAAAAATATGATATGTGTAAGCATACACCCTAACTACACCCTAACCCAATTGCACCAATGACCATATATGGAACACTATGCCTGTGAACAGATAATACTCCTTTCTCCTGTGCAGTGATCATACAGTTTGTAGGCCAAAACAAAAATCTCAACAAATTCTGAAAAGTTGAAAATATAGAGTGTCTCTAACTACAGAAAAATAGTAAGTTAATATTAGGAGGAACTCTAAAAGTACAGACATATAGGGAAATTAAGCAACACAATATTAGCCAACAAACAATTCAAGGAAGAAATCAAGAGGGAAAAAAATGTTAATACTGTTTTTAGATGCCATCAAGCCAGTTCCAATCCATAGCGACCCCAGGCCCGACAGAACACAGCACCGCTGTTCCCTGCATCATTCTAACAATTATTCTTAGGTTTGAGCCCATTGTTGCAGCTGCTGTATCAATCCATCTCGTCCAGGGCCTTCCTCTTTTACTCTTCCTGCACTCACCAAGTATATGTTCTTCCCTAGGATTGGTCTCTCCTGATAACATTTCCAACGTAGGAGAGATAAAGTCTGGCTATCTTTGCTTCTAAAGTGCATTCTGGCTGTAATTCTTCTAAGACAAACGTGTTTGTTCTTTTGTCAGTCCATGGTGCCTTTTTTTAAAAAAAATCATTTTATTGGGGACTCTTACAACATTCCATACGTATTTAAACATATGTTGCCAACATCTTCCAAAACATTGTCTACTTGAGCCCTTGGTATAAGCTCCTCTTTTTTCCCCTCCCTCTCCACCCTCATGAATCCTTGATAAATTATATATTATTTTTATTTCATATCTTACACTGCCCGTTGTCTCCCTTCACCCACATTTCTATTATTCATCCCTTTTGGGGGTGGGGGGGGTGGCTACATATCCAACCTTGTGATAGGTTCCCCCTCTCTTTCCCTTCCCCCTCCCCGACCATCTCCCTACTCTTATGATATCACTATTCCCACTACTGTTCCTAAGGGGTTTATCGGTCCTGAATTCCATGTGTCGAAAGCAACTTTCATTCAATATTCCTTACCAACACCTTAGGTAAAATGCATTGATGTTTCTTTTTCCTTTTTGCATTGATTTTTCTTTAGTCTCTCTTATTACATGCCCAACTTTCACGTGCATATGAGGTGATTGAAAATAACATGGCTTAGGCCTGGTACACCTTAGCCCTGGCAGCAACATCTTTTCTTTTCAAAACTTTAAAGAGGTCTTGTGCAGCAGATTTACCTAGTGCGATGTGCTGTTTGATCTCTTGACTGCTGCTTCCATGAGCATTGATTGTGAATCAAAGGAAGACATAATCTTTGACAAGTTCCATCTTATCTCCAGTTACTATAATGGTACCTCTTGGTTGAGTAGAAGATTTTTGTTATCTTCCTTTTTTTAAAAAAATCCTTTTATTGGGGGCTCATACAACTCTTATCACAATCCATACATACATCCAATGTGTCAAGCATATTTGTACATTTGTTGCCCTCATCATTCTCAAAACATTTGCTTTCTACTTAAGCCTTTGGTATTGGCTCCTCATTTTTTCCCTCATGAACCCTTGATAATTTATAAATTTTGTCATGTCTCACACTGTCTGACATCTCCCTTCACCCACTTTTCTGTTGTCCCTCCCGCAGGGGGGGTTATATGCAGATCCTTGTAATCAGTTTTTGTTTTCTTTACATTGAATTGTAATCCATAATGAAAGCTTCAATCCTTGACCATGATAAGCGAATGCTTCAAGTCCTCCTCATTTTCAGGAAGCAAGGTTGTTTCATCTGCATATCCCAGGTTGTTAATAAGCCTTCCTCCAATCCTGATGCCACATTCTTCCTCATATAATCCAGCTTCTCTAATTATTTGCTCAGCATATAGATAGAAATGAAGCTGGAGATGGCATGATAGAATTTTGCAAGATCACAGATGTTCCTGGCAAATACATTTTTTTCAACAACACAAAAGCCAAGTATACACATGGATTTCTCCACATGGAAAATATAGGAATAAAATTGCCTACATATGTGTGAAGAGAAAATGGAGTAGCTCAATATCAGCAGCTAAAACCAGGCAGGCGAGGGTCTGACTGTGGAACCGACCAACAATTGCTCCTCTGTAACTCCAGGTTGACGGTGAGGAAACGTCAAACCCTCAAGTGCTAAAGCGCAACCTTGAGTATTCCCAGATGAACTTCATGAGCATCTCAAAACAGATTTGTGCACTGAACACTAATGACAGAAAACATGACGAGCTATGGGAGGACATCATTCATGAAGAAAGCAAAAGGTCATTAAAAAGACAAGAAAGAAAAGATCCAAGTGGATGTCAGAAGAGGCTCAAACTTGCTCCTAATCACGGAGTAGTTAAGGAACCTAAGCGATGAGGAAGTCAGAGCCTAACAGAAAACTCTAAAGGGCAGCTGGAGAAGTCAAAGTAAACTATTATAATGAAAGACCTAGAGTGAGAAAACCAAAGAGGAAGACTATGCTCAGCATATCTTAAACTGAAAGAACTCAAGAAAAATTTCAAGTCTCGAGTTGCAAAAGTGAAAGAATTTTATGGGCAAAATATTGAATGAGGCAGGAAGCATCCAAAGAAGATGGAAAGAACATACCGTGTTGCTATACCAAAAAGAACTATTCAATATTCTCCCATTTCAGGAGGTAGCATGCAAGCAAGAACCATGGCTTGGGTTAGGAGCACCTTAGTCCTCAAAGTAACACCCTTACTTTTCAACACAAGAGGTCTTCTGCAGCGGATTTACCCAATGCAATGCATTGTTTGATCTCTCCATTGCTGCTTCCGTGAGCATTGTTAATGGATCCAAGCAAGATGAAACTGTTAGGTTTGAGCTCCCGGCCAGGAAGGGATGTTACATGTGGATTGGACCATCTAAGCCAGGTGAATTTGATTCAGCCAATGGGGTAAACCAGTATCGTTGACCATGCCTCCCAACAGGTCCCCTGAAAAGCCAGAGTTTTGCTCTGGCACGCTCTCTCTCTCAGCAGCTGACACACAGTTGAGTGCGGCTGGGCTGCACATCCCAACGCATGGCTATGCCACGTCCTGCCAACCGTGCCGTGGACTCTGTCTGCCTGTGTTCCATTTACTGTATCACCTGAAACTGCTTCTAATTTTCAAAAAACTCACTTGGGTCACAAACCAGGCTTCGGCGTGAATTCTTTCTCACACAAAGCCAAGGACCAAGGTATATCTCTCCCACGAGAGGGAGAGATCTAACAAAATCTTTGAAAACTTCAATCTTTTCTTCATTTTTCATGATGTTATTATTGGTCAATAAAACCCCTCACTGTCATCGAGTCAATTCCAACTCATGGCGACTCTATATGACAGGGTAGAACTGCCTGTGTGGGTTTCTGACTAACTCTTTATGAGAGTAGCAAGCCCCATCTTTCTCTTGCACCGCAGATGGTTTCTATCTGCTGACCCTGTGGTTAGCAGCTCAATAGGTCACCAGGGCTCCGCTACTGGGCCCGTTGTGAGGATTTGGGCCTTGTTTACATTGAGTGGTAACCCACAATGAATGCTTCAAGCCTTGATCTTCATCAGTAAATGCTTTACGACAGTCAGTCTTCCTCACTTTCAGCCAGAAAGGTTATGGCATCTGCCAATCGCAGGTTGTTAGTAAACCTTCCTCCAGTCCTGATGACACATTCTTCTTCATATAATCTAGCTTCTCTGGATCATCAGTCAATAATCCCTATTCAATATAACATTCTTCGCCTAGACCAGCATTGCTAGGACTTACACTGAGTCCTATAGTCTACAGCTCTTTGACTAGTAGTGAGACTTGGGGGTTCTAATAAAATGAGTCCCAGGATTTCTCTTTTATGCCTTAAACTTTATTGGGGTTAATAACTAAAGGTAGCTTGACCAAAACGGCAACAGCAAATCAATGAGACAGATCCTAGAAAAGAATTGTGCCCCAAGTGTTTTGGACAACAGAGAAAGTAACACCGAATCCTCCTTGGGGCAGTGGAGATGAACTGGAACTTCAGACAAATCTCTCGGGTGAGTATTCCAGTAGGATAAGGCAGAGAAGGTAAATCCACTCAGAGGGCCTGGTGCTTGGAGGTCTGGGCTCACTCTGCTCTCCTGGTTCCCTGAGGCTTTTCCTAATTCCCCTGAACCAAAGTATGCTCCCTTTCAACTCCAGAGCCATTTTAAAAAGAGCTCTTACACTTCACACATCGGGCCTGGTGCTCTAGCTCTTCGTATATGCTATTTATCGTAAAATCACTTAAAGTCAAGAAATGGTTCTGCCTTCTCTGCCTCTCCTCTAGGACCCAGGACTATGTCTTGACCAGAGAAAAGTGTTCCAAAATAGTTATCAACTTACATAGAACACAAATATTTTCTTGATTCAGTATTCAAATAATTCTTATAACTGTCGGTATTAAACTGCATGTAGTCAGCCCTCCTAGCTAAGAATCTGAGCACTAGGACAAGAGTTTAATAAAACCCTAACGCTTGGCCTGTTCGCTCACTTGCTGATAACTGATCTAAAAAGATGCTGTTAATAATTTGGAGAAGGCTTCAATCAGACCTAAAGCATGTTTACAATTCAGCAGGACATTTTAAAATTAAAAATATTACTAAACCATTGGGTATACTTATTTATCTTCATAATGATCCTTTATAATAAAGGAAAATGCAGTCCATCCATACCTGAATAAATTTCTTTCTAAAAGCCCCAAAGCCTGGAACCTTTGGGTCTCCCAAGGCCGCATGCATTCTGCCATACTTTTTTTCAATGTTTTTTTTATTAACAGGGTTCTTTTCTAGTTCGGCTCTGATATCTTCAGTCCAATCCTGTGTAGATTTAAAAAATTAAAAATCAGTCTCCATTGCAAGTAGATTTTAGCAAAGTTCGATGTTTTATGTGTTACAAGCTGCTATATTACCTTAAAGATCATTTCAGGATTGGAGAGTTGGTCTAGGGCATTAATGAAATCTTGAATCACTCCTCCTTGGTCCAACTTACTTTTTATTCTATAAAAAATTTACTTGGTTACATTTTTTTTGGCCAAGTTTAGGTTATCAAACATCTTTCAAAAACAGCTAATATCGGTTGCTGTCACATGAGTATGTATCTGTGGGTGGGTTTCAAAAAAACCCACAGAGAAAGTCCATTATCTTTTAACTGCAGTTTCCCCCAAAGCTTTAGGAGCCCCCTTGTGTTCCAGGGAACTGCATACTCTAGAGGAAGAGTCACTGAACAATTCTTCAGTACTCAGCAAAGCACAACTTAACCGTAGGTGACATTTTAGAGATAAAAGCAAATGATTTTGGTACAGCATCTTCATACAATTTTATGTAATTGAAGTTATGTTATAAAAGAAAGGATTACTATCTTGACATCCTTTTCTCTCAACCTTTTTCTCTTCTCTTTTTGAAAAGCCCTCCCTCTACAGTGGGCTGCATGGCAAATGTGCAGATAGTAAACAAAAGCTCTTGTTGGAGACCATTCGCCAAAGAACCACATGTGCCTCCTCTTCTTACAGAACCAATATGCCCTGGCCCGCTGAGTCAACTGTCTGCACTCATAAATCACTGGCGCCTTGAAGAGCATGCCTCTTCCATGTCCTAACGAAGAAAAGGAGCCTTTCTGTGCTTTTTAAACTGGAGATCAGTTTCAGAAATGGATTTCAAAAAGCATCTCACCTACTGTGTCTCAAGCAATAGATTACTAAAAATGAGTAAAGGACGAGGTTTCTTGAGAAACATTCTAACATAAAAACAGTTTTAGAATAACCTATAAAACTTTCATGAGGTTCTATGGTTTGGTTTGGTTTTTAATCACATATGTTTTTTTATAGCCCGCAGTATTTGATTAATTTATCTCTAAAGTCACCTTGCCACAAACTCTTTGTTCTTATGACCAGTGGAAGTGTCTTTGAAGGCATAGCTCTCACTGCTTATTATGAAGGGGTAGACCAGCGCCTGGGGATAGTTGTCCGCAATCTCTTCCACCGTGTGCTGCACAGCCACGGCCTCCTCTTTGTCCAGTAAGGCCACCAGGTGGCTGATCCAGCCAATGAATTGCCAGCAAGGAATAGAAGAAATCTAAAGGAGAGAAAGATGTGCCTAGAGCATGAAGATTTCCAACCAGAGTTTATTACAAAAGTCATACATGTCCAATATGAACAAAGAAGTGTAAAAACAGAAATATATAATCCTTTTGATCCCCAGTTCTCTCGGTCCCATTCCTAAGGCAACCACTTCCAAACCCACTGATGTAAACCCTATTCTGACTCAAAGCAACACTCTTAAAACTGTAGAATTGCCCATAGAGGGTTTCCAAGGTTTTAAGTCTAGAGCGAAGCAGACTGCCACTTCTCTTTCCCCTGGAATGCAGAGTAGCTGGAAATGGTCACCCTTCTGGTTAGCTTAGCGCAGAGTCAATTCCCACTCATAGTGAACCTCTAGCATACAGCAGAACTGCTGCATAGGGTTTGCAGGGCTGTAAATCTTTACGGCAGGCATTTGATGGTCTCCTATATTTATTTCCTTTGAGCACCTGATGGGTTCAAATTGCTGACTGTCAGTTAGCAGTCCAGCCCTTAACCCACGGCACCACCAGGACTCCTTCTTCATGTGTGTACAGACCCTTTGTTCACAACAATGGAATCACACCTTGATGCCGCTGGTTTTTATTTTTTAAATGATGGACAGAAAGGTATAGCCCATTTTCCTTAATAGTTGTAATAATATTCCACTTTATATGTAGGCTACACTAGAGTGAATATTCAGGTTATTCTCTAATTTTTTGTTACTATTGACAATGCTACAATAGCTATACCTCTTTGTACTTGTGCTATATGTTACATGGTAAAATCCCAAAAGTACAATTACTGTGTGAACGTTAAGAGTTGTAATACACAGTGCTAAGTTTACCTAACAGATTTTTCAAATTTTCATTTAGAAAAGTATATGAGTGATTATTTTTTGAAATATCTTAACAATACAGACTGAACTAATTTTTTTAAATAATTGCCAAACTGAGAAGGGAAAATAGCATATTCTAATGTTTGTGTTTAAGTTCTAGTAAGGTGAAACATTCCATATTTAATTTTTCTTTTGTTTTAATAAATGTAATTCCTAATCATTTTTAGAAATTTATTTCCAGTAAAAAATCATTATTTGCTTTCTGTTATCTATTTGTGACAGTTTACTTACTAGACTGGAGAAATTAGCACTCTGTTTCCCATATATACTGCAAATATTTTTCCCTTTTTAGAGTATTTATGGCAATTTCTTCTGTGTACAACTACTAAATTATTTTCCTCTAAACCATGTGTTTTGGTTTTGTCTCTTTAAGATCACTTCAAGTTTTCCAATCCTGTTTCCTTCCAATATCTTTATAGTGTCCCTTTTAAGATACCATCTGACATATTGGCAATGCTGGCACAATGAGTGACACTGAAGGATGTCTCCTAACTTCTGTACACCTACATTTTCTCATCTTCAATATGTGAGGATAAAATGAATCCATCCACAAAAAGTCACTTGTCACAGTGTGTGTGCAGTTTATAGCAATATTCAATCAAAATTAGCCTAATGCCCATCCAGGGGTCACAATAACATTGTGAACTTGTGACTTTTCCCTATGTACATACATAAAATATTATACTGGGAGAAAGTTAAACTATTTATTTGTCTCATTTATCTTTAAGGGGGGAAAAATGCAACATTTATCTTAACCTTCGGTTTCAGATGCACTGTGAGAACTTGCCACAGACCCCCAAGGCCAGAGTAAGTGTAGTGGAGGCTCTGGCGGGTATGCGCAAACTCTGAGGCTCATACCCTGCACTGTGCACACTGGCCAGGTTAGCTAGTGGAGTTTTCTGGGACCACTGCTTTTCAACCATTACTTTTCTAGCTCAAAATTTTTCAGCTAAATATCATTACCAGGCACAGTTTCAAGGTATCTTTCAACTGACCAACACCTTTCCTGGATGAAGGAAATAGAGTCTTTCCCAGCATAGCGGGCTGGATGATAGGTAGACAGGACACACACTGATCTGCAGAATATGCTGAAGTCATCAGAACACAGCTCACATACCCTACTCTGCTGCCAAGCCCACATATGCCAGGGTCACTCTCAGACCATTCTTGGCCTGGCTGCCGAAAGGCATGGTGCTCACTAGGAGGTAGGCACAGCTAATGCTTTGCTGTATGCAGTACACAGACGTTACACATTGCAGCTGAGTTTAACCTAAAACTCAGAAAAACTCAACTCTGTCCCCAATACTCTCACGACTCTACTCCTTTGGGTCTCTTGTTTAGACACAGTGGTCCTATATTGCCCATAGAGGATGACCATGGTCAAGTGTGAGTGTCTTATTGTTCAGTTTTTAAATTATATATGCTGTTGGGATATAGCAGGATTCATTGCTGGTTGGAAACAGCTATGAACTATGCACTGCATAGGCTAATAAATCTGAGTAAAAATATAGGTATAGTTCATCTTCACAAGAATATAGATACTAACCTCTTTTGTCATTAGGCTCAAGGTTTCCTCTGGATACTGTTCTATAATTTGAAGAATTCTGGGAAATTTTAGCCTGGCTTCAGTGGAATTTAATTTTAAGGCTTTCAACATTTTCTCCACCACAAGTGCTGCGTATGTCTGTAATTCTGCAGCATCTATAACTATCAAGGACATCAAATAAGAAAACAAAATCAGTACATTTATTTATATATAAATTATAAATTTAACAAGGATTTTCTATTTTTGGTTTATATCATTGTGGTATGTCACTGTTCTCATTGTAACGACTTCTTTAGAGCAGCAAACACCAGACACATTTGTGGATTAGAAGTCATCGTTTTCATTTTGAAGACAAATTCCTCTATTAGATTTCCCATTCTGCATGAAACATAGTTTGCATTGTGGGCTAGAAACATAAAGGACACCCGCTGATTATGGAATTTATTCCAAAAGCAAGAGGTGGGCCACGAGAGCCAATAGTATCAAAGAATCAAGTAAAGGATGACAGAAGCAAGTGCAAAGACAGACAGAAGCCTGGTTTAACTGAGATGCTGGCATATGGTTGGAGATGTCATGGCCATTCAGAAAAATTACAGACTTCTCGCAGAACATTTGTTGAGAATCTGGAAAAGGGTAGTGGGAATCACTGCAGAACATGATGAATTAATATCACTGAATTACATTTGTAAAAAATGCTGAAATTGTAAATGTTTCATTTTATATATATAACACATTTTAAAAGTTAATGAATTGATAAATAGTAAATTAATAGATCTCTCAATTAAGGGAAAAAAATTATAGAGTTTAGACTAGCGAAACTTACCTGATGGCTTATCTTCCTCCCTACGGAGTGCTTGATCACAGAACTCTACTAAAGTCATGTACGCGTGTATCGTTCCAGCCACATGGGCACAGTCTCCGCTGGAAGACTGGGTTTCCTTCTCAGTAGTCTGCACGGCTTCAGATAGGAAATGGAATGCCTTCTTATACAGGCCTGCTTTCACCTGGAATTCACAGACACCAGTGAATGACACTGAAGCTTTCTTAGAGAACTCTTATTAACTTCTTGATTCACTATGAAGAAACTAATAATAGCTACCTCTAAAATGTAGATACAGAAAGTTTGCCGGGGGAAGGAGTCATTCTAATTAGACCTTGAGCACAGGAGAGACAAGCAAACAGACTAGAACAGGCCAAGTGTGGGCCAGACAGCACACTAGTCACCTGTGCTGCCACGAAAGCTTCATGGGAAATCAGTAACCCAACCAAATTTTAAGAAAGAAAAAGGCATACTTTAACGTAAATCCATGAAAAATATTATGAAAGTGGAGCATAATGAGTTATATTCCACCATATCTGACCTCAACTTTTTGAAATTGCAGCCTAGATGTTAACCATTGTTGGGTGGAAATTTCTACAAATTAGCTCCCAAGGATTACAGGGATAATGAATTTTCTTTGTTATAAGAAGGCAGTGGCTGTAACAATATTTAAACCCTACTTCCAAATCCCTTGTTTGTTCATTAAAATTCTAATAGGCTAGATACACTAGCTGTTGTCTTCAGTGTCCGATAGGGACAACCTGTCCTGGATCACAGGCTCTGTCTGCAAAGATGCTGGCAACCCTGAGAGAAGTCAAGGGAGGGTTGGTAACTGCCCAAAGTACAAAATACCAGCAAAGTGGTAACAACACAGAAACTAAGCGCAAAAGTGGGAGAGAAAGGCTACTCTGCCCTACAATGAATGGAGAGTTGTGATCAAACTGGTGGCGAACGAATGACCTTAGGCAGACAAATTTCTCCCTTTTTATGACAAAAACCAACTTCCTTCAAAAAATTGTAAACACGTGGGATATGTCAATTTTTCTATCCAGAGATCTTGGAACTCAGTTGTACACACTGAGAGTTTAAAAAAAGTGAGACCTCATGATTATGTTTGGGTAGCCAAAAGGTTATATATTAAATACAGCATAGACACATAAAATTCATTCTTCCAAAATTCATTACCTTTTCTACATCCTCTGAACTGGATCCAGAAAGCTCCAAGATTCTTCTAACCTTACTGCTCTCAATTTGGGCAAGGCAAGTTGGCTCACTGCTAAGAGCATTAGCTATGATGGCATAAGTGGTACCCAAGAGAATGTTCTGATCACGAAAAGCCAGAATCTTTTTATTTAAGTGGCTTGATGTGTTCTCCTCTGTTGGATTAAAAAAAATTTTTTTTTTCACTTAAGTGAAGAACTTAAGTTGAAGAAATTCATAATATACAAATTAACATTGCTTCCATAAAAGGTGAAAGCAACGAACTTCATGTTGGTTAGAGAATTCCTTGAATTGACTTGTTAATAAAAAATATCTTTTGTTATGAGCAACTATAACCAAGTCCACAAAAGCTAAAACACTAAAACTAAAATTTAGATTTTATTCAAGCATCAGCCTCCTGCATTCTGTCACAGCACTTGGTTCTGTCTATTGCAAAAAGTAGGAAATGGCTCTCATTAACACATTTGTGTATGTGTTTGACAGCGTGTTATATATATGTTGTGTATTATGTCTTGATGTATAAGTTGTGTATATATTCTACAATGATGCAGTGAATTAGAGCTGATACAAGACAGACCACTGCATTCAAAATTCTAGTTCTGCTTCTTACTGATGCCTGGCTTTGGCCAAAGAGCTGGCCTAGCCCTGGTGAAGCTTGCATCTCCCAGAGGTGTTGATGGTGCAGAGCCATCTCCTCGAAGTCTAGTCAACTAAAGTATCCTGGTCATCCGTGGCGTGGCAATTCTCTATCAGATGTCTCTCAGATATCTGATACTAACTATTGGCCTTACTTAATTAACATGGTTATAAAAATTCTAACTACACTAAAATGTAGAATTGTTATCATGAATGACAAATCAATGAGGTTATAAGTTCCTAATGTTATTTTAATATCAGCAAACTATTGCTCCTCCTCTGAAAAAAACAATTCGTTAAGCCATCATAAAGCTGATATTCTGACTCTGAGTTCAATATACAAAGATGGCTTTTGCTTTCTGTACTTTCCTGAGACTTATAGTCTGTATAATGCCCTGTCTTGCTTAAAGTCAGTGGAAACACCTTGGTAATATTCTAATATTTTAGCATCGGATAATTCTCTTGAAAGCATTATACTTAGTACCCTCTTGCTTTATGTTTCATTTTAAATTGAGCTCAAAGAGAATGCAGTATTTTAATGTAACTCTGCCTATACCCTTATCTAGAGGCCTGTTAACATTTTCAGTCTTTTATGATTTATTTTCTCCTCCCCGAGGGATATTTTTGTTTCTTTTGCTGATTGAGTCAGCATACTGTATTCTTGTTCGTCCGAATACTCATGGCCTGGGGATTTTGAACTGGTAAACACCCATGGCGTGAAAAGGCACATGACTCCATCGCATGACCTCAACCACCTAACACTGTATGCTCAGTCATGTATAGACATGCATAGGAGGTAGAAGACATGTCACCCTGCAACTGTGAAACCGCAGAATGACTCTGGACGCCTTTTGTGCTCTTCACTTTTCAGTTTCCTATCATGCACATAAAAGCTTGAAGAGAAAAAAAAAGGTGATTTTGAAAACTGTATGGAGCCACCATTGCCTGTAAAATAAAATTAGCTTGCTAACACCTTAAAAAAATAAAGAGAGTCCAATTGGCAATATAACTGGGGACATATCCAATAATAGTGCTGTTCTGTACCTTGGACACCTGGCAACAGAGCAGGCACATCTTCACCAGAGAAAAATTGCCCTCCTTCCCTCTAAAAGAGAAGCACTGTGGGGGGAAAAGCACTAAGGAGAATAAAGTCTATTTATATTGAATTTACCAGGCATTTTAAACTGCAACCTAGTTTCAATAAAAATTGAACTATTAGGCTCAATATTTTAAGTATGAAGTAGAAGACGTTCATTTCGATTTTATTTTATAAAGAAATAAAAGCTATAAAATGTATATTTACAGCACTGAAACCTTTGTTCTATTTTTAAGGAAGTGACATCATTTTCTCTACCACACTTCGCCGTATTACAAAAATTACTAGTAAGATTTAATTCTCCAATCCTGATGAAGCAGCACAAAGAACAGGTATAGAATATATATTAAACTAAGCACAAAATGTCACTCTGCAACTTAAAACCTACTGCTATGAGTGGATTTCAACTCATAGCAACCCTATATGACAGAGGAGACCTGCTCCTTAGGGTTCTGAGTCCCCTCGTCCGTAATCTCTATGGGAGCAGAGTCTTCTCTTTCTCCCTCACAGGAAATGAAGCAAGTCTTTACCTAGCAAAGAGATGGCTTTCCACACAGTGAGAATCTGCTCGGTGGGAGGCTGGTTCTGGCTCCGGCAGTGACTCAGCTGGCAATAGCTATGCACCCATCTCACCAGCCAATCTTCTTTTGTTTTGGACTCTTTGTGAAGCTCTTTCAATAGCTTCATGGCGAGCGAGAAGTTATTCTATGTTGATCGAAAAAAACAAAGAAGCCACAGTTGGCATTTTCTTAGAAATAAAATGATTTTACGAAAAGCTTAATTGGATTGTTTTTGGGGCATGATACAATATGCATTAGAGCACCTAATCCATTTCCTCAACTTGAATAGTGTGGCTGTCTTTTTGTTTATTACTAAAATAATAGTCCACACTTAATATACAATTCGGTTCTAAAATTGATCGTGGTGATAACTGCACTACTCCTTTTAAGGTACTTAAACCACTGAATTGTAAGGAATGTGGATTATATGTGCTTATACACTATAAAAATTTTAAAAATAAAACTAAGTAACAATTCAGTTGTTTTAGTATAGTCACAGTTGGGCTATCATCACAAGTATAATTCCAGAACATTTTTTCCACTCCAGGAAGAAAGCCCATAGCCACTAGCAGTTAACTCTCCATTCCCCAAGGCCCAACCAAGCATCCATGTTGTCTGTCTCTATGGACTTGTCCATTCTACAGTTCACATAGAATTATACAATATGTGCCCTTTTATGTCTGGCTGTTTTCACTTAGCACTGATTTTGTAAGGTACATCCATGTCACAGCATGAATCAGAACTTCATTCCTTTTGATTGTCAATTAATAGTCAATCATACACAATTATATTCATATATTGTTGTTTATCCATTCATCCTTTAATGAATATGTGAGTTGTTTCTACTCTTTGGAAATTATAAATCATGATGTTATAACCATATATGTATACTTTTATGTGAATGTTTTTTTTTACCTTTTTTGGGTTTACATCTAGGAATGGAACTATTCAATGACGTTAGGCTTAACTTTTTGAGGAACTACCAAACTGTTTCCCAAAGTGACTGCACTAGTTTGTATTCCCACTAGCAATGTATGAGAGCTCCACTTTCCCCATATTCTCACCAGTACTGTTCATTTCCATTTTTAGGATAATAGATATTCTGGCAGGTGTGAGCTTATATATTGCTGTAGTTTGAATTTGCCTTTCACTAGTGAAAAAGATGTTGACCGTCTTTCTTCACCACAGTCGTTTCAGAACAACTTCACTTTCCCCAATTGTCCTGCTCCCCCACCCCTACCCCCAGCTCCTGTCTTGCTCTTCGGGGAATATAGAGATCTACTGCAGAATGCTACCATTCTGCCTACATAACCTTCACTCCAATTACAACAGAAGAGGCCTCATCTCCTACCACAGACAGACTGTTCCCCTTGTGTATTGAACCCTGTCTCCTCCCAGCCTAAAAGGAATCATATTTCAACAAGTATAACTTGGTTCGTGCTTAAAAAACGTTTTCCCCCCTTAGCTTCACATGCTCCTTCTATCAAGAGGCTTGTGGACTCCCCCATGCTCGATGTCACTGTTCCTCCACCCCTTGTGCAGCATGGCTCCGTTTCACCATACTCAGCCAATAGCAACCGTTTCTTTCACTTTGAATGGCATTTTCAATCCTTCCACGTTTTTGGTGGTTTTTTTTTGTAATTGGCACTAATGACTCAGGCTCTTCCCTTGTGGTGTCACAATCCCTTTGTTTTCGTCTCTCTGTCCCAGTCTCAGCTTCTCCGTAAGTGTCCTTTCCTTTGTTCGTGCTGTATCAGTGTTTTTGTTGTTTGTTTTGCAGGCTGAGCTCAGTCGCTTCATCCATCTCCTCATTTCAGGGACCGCCCACGTGTCTACAACCTGGAGACTGGTCTTTCCAGTGTAACTCTTGCTCCAGAGCTTTAGGTTCTTATGCAGATTATCAGAATGGAAACCACAGTTTAGTCGGCCGAAAGGCAGCTCCATTTTTACACGTCCCAACAATGTACCGCCTTCCACCTAGACTATGCTTTCTCTTCATTCCCCGCCACCAGCTACCCGGGGAGGTGCCTTCTCGCCCTCTTCCCCACAGAATACTGAGCAGGTCGTGAGGGTGCATCAACGTTTTCCTGGAATCCGGTTCACAGCTCTGCCTCTACGTGGCCGCCCTCACCTTCACATGGAGTAGTAGAGAACCTTGCTAAATCTTGGCCGCTGCCTTGATCTACTACTATACTTTAACAAACCAAACACAACCGGGCCATTAATAGAGCAGGCTCATCTATGCATATGATTTGATGCACTGAATTAGTTCACATACAACTTTTATGAATGGAATATGGAGATCATGTTAGAGTGTTACTATCAAATGATAGATTTTCACAATGTGAACCTTTGTTAAAGGAGACAACATCTGATGTTAGATTTAGCATCCTTTTAAATAACACATTATAATATTTTTGAAGTGACTAATAGATGTAGAAGTTTCTTGTAAACTTTAAGGATAATAGTTAAGTTTTTCTAGAACTTTACTTTTGTATGAAAAGAAAATACTAACTTGGTCCTTTGAAACTTTACAATTCAGTTTGTAAAGAAACATTTATTTAGGATTAACCAAAAAAATCTTATTTCAGAAATTTTAATGACATATCAAATCCAAGTCACTGTCATTTTCAATGAGCTTCTGACTCATAGTGACTCTAAATGACAGAGAACTGTCCCATGCGGTTTGTAAGGATGTAATATTTATGGAAGGTGACTCCCCATCTTTCTCCAACAGCGCAGCTGATGAGCTCAAAACCCTTGTCTTGGGAGCAAGCACTTAGCATTATGGTACTCGTTATCCTAAATGATGACACAGAGGGATTTGGGCACATACCTGTTTCCTTGCACTTTCTACCATCTTCATTTTCATGGAAAACTTACAGCTCTTAATTAGAGAATCAATATCTTCTTCCTGATCTTGCATTTCCACCCTGTCACCGCGACCTCCATCTCCATCTACCAGCATACTATGATCCTCTGAAAGGGGAGTAAGTTTCTCCTCTATTTTGCTGAGAAAGAAACAGCTACACCAAGCAAAGAATTGTTAGTTAACAACAGAGACTCCTGAAGGCGCTACTGGAGAGCATTCAGACAGAAATCCTAGAGCTATCGTTCTTGTTCACATACAGCCTGCTTCAACAAAATTCCTACAAAAATTCCATGATTTTTTCATTTCGTTTTTCCATGAATTTTTTTTAAGCCCCCTCACTAAAAGTTTTATACAATAAGGCTGGGTTGCTTTATAGTGTATTTTTGTAATATATATATATACATATTTCTGTTACAATAACTTCATTTTCACTAATAACAACAGTGACAAGGACAAAGAACCTTAACATAAGAGATTCACTCCTTAACAGAAAATATTCAAAGAGTCTGTTCACAAAGGACTAGTTTCTCATTTTCCTGAAAATTCTGTGCCTTGATAAACCCTTCTACTTCATATTTTTTCCTTAAAGCGTTCAGAAGGTAAAAATGTCACTTGGTTCACTAACCATGAAATTCCACTGCCCCAAACCATGAAATTATTTTCAATTGCCTCATATGCATGCAAAGCTGAACAATGAAACAGAAATTTGAAGAATAAGAATGGTGATATACAAGAAGAGTGTGGCATACACTGAACTGTCAGGAGGACAAATGCGTTTTGCAGGAAGAACTGTCAGAATGGCCCTGAGAAGTGACTCGCTCACTCGGGACCCGTCCTCAAAGGACATAATGCTTAGGAGACGAGCGGGTCCAGATGCAATTAGACACTTTGTCGTAACATCTCCCTTTTTGGCCCATTTTAAATGTGCCGTTTTTAACTATTTTCTGCTTTCTTTCCAGTTGAGGGTTTTTTCTCTGTTTTACTTTGATACTGTCTTGGGGCTCAGGGGGTATATATTTCTCCATCTATGACGCCCAGGATGGGTTAAGTTAAAGAGACGAGACAGTGATTACTTGGAGGGTTTCTGGAGGGTACGTCAGGGGAGGCTAGGGAAAAATGGGAAGTGGATAGCAATGAGTACAAGAAAGAAGAAATTGTTCTAAGATTGATGGTGGAAACAACTGTACAAATCTTTTAATATGACTGAACTTTTGAATTGCATATGTGAATTATATACCAATAAAACTGCTAAAAATAAAATTTAAAAAGCAAAGATTAAAAAAAAAGTAGAGCGTCATCAGAAACAACAACAATCTGTATGAGAGAGGCTGACACATTACTTGCCACATACCAACAATTACAATGATGGCCCAGGACCAAGTACAGCTTCACTCTGTCATATACAATGTCCCCAGGGAGCCCAGTGGACTCCAGGGAAATTAACTCGTCTTGGTAGGTGGCAATCCTCCCTTCCCTCAATTGCAACCCTAATCCAACCTCAACAGCCTTTTCTTTTGTAGATATTGATGAGCTGACTCCAAAATTGGATACAAATATGAAGGGGCTTCGAAAAAAGTCCTTGGAAAAGTTCCATTGACAGTTAATTTCACATTCCCATAAATATTTTTAAAGCCCCTCTCAAATAATATTATAGTTTTTCATTGAAGTTTTATACATTGAGGAAGTAAATGAATAACATAAAATCAATAAAGTAATTTTCAATAAGAACAAAGTTGAGGCCACCCCCCACCTAATTTCAAGATTTATAAAATGTTTACTATAAACCGACGAGACCTGATGATGCACTGGTTTTGGATTCAGCTAAAGGTCAGTGGCTTGGACCACTAGTAGCTTCATTAGGAGAAGAAAAAAAAAAGATTACAGCAATAGCAAGTAGAAGAAGGGTTTTGGGGAGGGGGTACAGTGGTGGTTGTAGGGTCAAATGGGAACCATGTCAAGGAGTCCATGTAGAAAAAGAAATGTTTGGAAACTGACTGTGGTAGCAATTGTGCAATTCTGCTTGGCATGACTGAACTATGAAATGCTGTACGTATTAAACCCCAATTAATATTATATATATTTTTAATTACAACATTAGAGACCTTAAGAAAATCAACCAGGCAGCATTAGGTTATAAGTGCAGTAACCAGGAATAATAGTATGCTATTGTGAAAACATACACAGAAATCAAGGAAACAGCAGAGGATCCAGATATAAACTGCACATACATGGTAAACTGATTTTCAAGTAAGAAGCCCTGATATCACAATGGTTAAAGTGTTTGCCTGCTAACGTAAAGATCAGCAGTTCAAACCTAGAAGCTACTCTGTGGGAGAAAGCTTTAGTAGCCTGCTTCAGTAAAGACTGAGAGCGGTGGAAACCCTATGGGGCAGTGGCGATGCTAATGGGCCTTCTATGAAGAACAACACTTGCAGAGTGAGTGTGTGGGAGAGCGAAGAGATGCTGTTAGATACTGTGGATCTTCACAGGGCATCTCCACAACCCACAGCCTTCTTCCCAGTAGTGTTAACTCGACGTTTTCACAGTGCAGCAGGTGTGTCATTTTTTGGCTCTTACAGGTACATTATTTGGGGTTTGGGAGGATAAGTGGGGAAGAGGGGGATGGGTTGGATCACTCTTGTTAAAATTTGGGGCCTGACTGTGGAAGCAGTGAAACAATAAAAAGAATAAACAACTACTGATTTTGTTCTGTTAAGAATAAATTACCTTTAAAAGTTAAAAAAAAAAAAAAAGTCACTGGCAACATAAATGAGGGCTAAACCTGTTGACAGCACAGGGACCTAGCAATCAAGGTGCTCCCAGCCTGAGCTTTGTGCCATCCCCTACAGAGGACTTAACTAGCATGTAACCAAATCTGCCATTTAGGAATGGAAGCTAACTGAGGAGGGACTGTATTTATTGGAAAGTTTACACAAGCAGATTTTTCTGCCTTCAAGGTGAAAATTCTTAAAATTGACAAAAAGACCCTTTCCATTCCAATCAGTCATAAATACCAGCTTGTCCAGCCAAGCTTCGGGCTGAGAGCTTCTGGGGAGGTGTAGGAGGTGGCGGTGGAGATGAGAGAATAAGGAAAAAGGGGGCCCATGCGTGCTGTTAGGGTGGAAAACTCACACTGTTTCAGAACTTTGAGTTCCAAAAGCCTTGGTGTCAGAGTTCAATCACTGACAGCACAAATCTCACTGAATCAATTCAAGGGTTGAAAGATCTTGACAGCCTGGGTCTCAGGAGCATACTTTCACCCTGGGGCACAGGTTCATTTTAAGTTTAAAACAAAAAAAAATTTTTTAATCCTAAGAATTAACTGATACCCAAAATTCTTTGTCTCGATGAGATTCCTCGGTTTTTTACATCATCTAAACTGTATCGAGAGCTGCACTGTAAATGTTTTAGGCGTGTGTTAGGTTTCTAAAAAAACTTTGCTTAAATGTAAACTTCATACTACCCTGTTAAGTTTTTGTCTTAATAAACTATATTTTTCTGGGGAAAAAAGGGCTGTACATGTATATGCATCTGTGTGACCTTACATATATTCATATAAATAATAAAACATATAGGGGCATGGTTATGAATACTACTCAAGATGAGATTTCTAGGTTTAAAGGATTAGACCCATTGTCTCGTGGGGCATCTCCGTCAACTGGCATAGTATTTGTATAATTCATCCACTTGTGTCCTGCAGCCTAACCTAGTGAACAACGTGGGGAGTCTGCAAAGCTTGCGAGTGGCCATCTGAAATAATAAAGAATCTGTATTCATCTGGAGCCAAAGAGAAAGAAGGAAACTAAAGGCTCAGGGGAGAAATAGTTTGCGGGACAAGTAGTCTTTTTAAAAAATAGTTTAATAGGCATAGAATTCACACACAATTTCATCATTCAATCATATGAAGAAGATTAATTCAGGCAAGTGGTTTTTATAAACTATATCCTCAACTGTGCTGAAGAACTAGAGGGTGTCTGGCTACCACCATCAACTATTCTGATTAGAGCCACAAGAGATAAACCTTCATGGAGCATGCACTACAGAGGAGCTCTGAAGATACAGACTGGGGAGAGGGGCAGGTGGGCCGAGGCCATACGGGAGCAAACTGAGAGAGAGAGGACAGCATCCTGGCCCACAGTTTCGAGGACATTCCTGCTCAGAGCAGCCAATGCACAAAGGACTGTAGGGTCGGCCTCACCACTAGACACGACATCCCTCACTGACCCACAGTGCTACGAGGCAGCACCTGCGCCCGGAGAGACGGTGCAGGAATTGTGCCCGGTCGGAACCACACACACACCCCCCAGGGCATAACACGAAGGGAGTGCAACAGAGGAGCAAGGGGAGCAAAACAACAAAGTCCCCAAGGAATTCTGAAAATAGATTTGGACTCAGGGGGCAGGGCTTGGCACTGCATCAGACCCAAAAGGAAAACTTTCATAAGGGTCAGCACACAGACCTGGAAGAATTTATAGGCTTTTTGGGTTTTTTTGGTCTTCTTAAGATAGGCAGGATAAACAATCCTGAGGAGAAAACGATGGGAATGATGGCTCTGGGGAAATAGGAAGGGGGAGGAGGGAGAAAGAGAGGGAGCCAACAAACCCAGGGACAAGGGAACAACAAGAGATCTAAAATCCATGGCAAGGAGAGCACAGAATGCCTGGTGGGGTTTGATTAAGTGCAATGTAGCCAAGAGGAAGTACAGAGAGCCAAAGGAAGGTCAAGCATGTAAGTGGGACAGGAGGAAAGTAAAAGGAAATAGAGGAAAGAACTAGGAAGCAAAAGACATCTATAGAGGTATAAACATAGGCATGTACGTATGTAAATACATTAATATATAATGTATTTATAGGTTAAGTATTAAGGTAGCAGATGGACATTTGGCCACTACTCAAGTCCTCCATCAATGCAAGAATACTTTGTTCTAATAACCTGGCATTCCATGAACTCACCTTCCTGACACAATCACTGAAAACAAAATGGGTGCATAAGCAAATGTGGTGAAGAAAGCTGATGGTGGCCGGCAATTAGAAGATACAGCATCTGGGGTGTTAAAGGCTTGAAGTTAAACAAGTGAACATCTAGCATGGAAGCAACAAAGTCCAAATGGAAGAAGCCTGTGTGATCACCAGGTGTAGATGGGATTGTGGAACAGGCATCAGAAGATCCAAAACAAGCAATATATTTCATTGCAAATGAGGGGGATAGGAATGGAGACTCAAATCCCCTCTGTAGACAATTGGACATCCCCTCACAGAAGGGTCACAAGGAAAGGATGAGCCAGCCTGGCTTATACGAAACACACAACACTCCTCTAGTTCTTTAATGCTTCCTCCCACCCCCACCTCCCACTATCATAACCTCAGTTGTAGCTTAAAAATCTGGCTAGACTAGAGCATGTACACTGGTACAATTAAGAGCTCTCGACACACAGAAAATCCAGGACAGATAAACCTCTCAGAACCAATAATGAGAGTAGCGATACCAGGAGGGGAAGGGAAGGTGGAGGGAGAAGGGGGAGAAAGGGGTAAACCGATCACAATGACTGACATACACCTCTACCACCCCAGGGGGATGGACAACAGAAATGTGGGTGAAAGGATACAGGAGACGGTGTAAAATAGTAAAATAAAAATAATTTATAAATTATCAAGGGTTCATGAGGGCAGGAGTGTGGGGGAAGGAGGGGGTTAAAGAGGAGCTGATAGCAAGAGTTCAAGTAGAAAGAAAATGTTTTGTAAATGATGATGGCAACATATGTACAATTGTGCTTGATACAATTGATGTATGGATTGTTGTAAGCACCCCCAATAAAATGATTTATTAAAACAAACAAAAAATGTTTTTCAAGAGGTAAACCTTGATTGAATGAGAGAAAAATGTATAGCAAACCTCAAATTCCTAAGAAGCAAACAAACAAATTCCAGACCTACTGAACTGGATGAAGCTGAATGGCTCTCAAGATTGCTGCTTTGAGATACACTTTAAACTTTGAACCAGAACCTGTCCCTGCAGTCACGTGCTAAATAAATAGCCAACGGGCTCACGAGATAATATCGCCGATGAGTACTGTGCTCCTTTAAAAAAAAAATCGATAGGAGAATACATGGTCAACAATTATTTAACAACAAAGGTGAAAATGTAAGGGGTCAGGGAAACTAGATGAATGGAAAAGGAGTAAGTATAGAAATCATGAGAATGTCCACAGGTTGTGAAGAATGTGCCCTATGTCACAGAGCAGGACGTGTAGAAATTGTTGAAAGGGAGCCTGAACTGCTGTGGAAACCTTCACACACCACACACGAACAGAGCCAATAAGCCAATATCTGGGATGCGGGGAAGAGCGAGCAATTATTCTCAGTTGGATGAGATTAAAAAGACACATCAAGTAAATGAGTATGTGCTCCCGGATTGGATCCTGTCCTGAATGCTGTGAAGGGCATGGTGAAGAAATGGAAAGTAGGGCTAAGGGTTTAAAGGAAAGCACTGTAACATGGTGACAGGGGACAAAAGCCTTAAAAAGTACAGGGGCCTGATGTTCGCAACTGTCCCTCAAATGGTTTCGGAAGTAAACAGTGTATCGAATGTGTGAGGAGAAAGGAACGCAGGTGGGCTGTGGGCCAGGTATCGGGCTGGTAGCCACCAGGTCTGCGGCTCACACACACGATTACTAACACGAGCGAGAGTTGAGGCTGTATGTTCCTGTAGAGCTACAGTTTGGAAACCCTAAAGGAGTTCTGCGCTGTCTCAGAGTCAGTGATGAGTGAACGTGGATCGAGGGCAGTGGCTTTGGCTTCTCTGGGTATGGAGAGAGAACTAAAAAACATGGGGCAAAGTTAAAAATGGATGCACTTTAGTAACAGATCTGTAAGAAAGTTCTACTTTTCTTCCAACTTTTCTATAGGTAAGAAACGGCAAGACTAACAATCTCAAAATAAAAAGTAGGGCAAATACAGCACCAGAGGCAAGGACCGCACACATGGACTCAGAGCGTTTGAGCCCTAGTTACAAACTGTGTGTACTTCATGCAGGCTGATTAATAATCCCTCCGATTCGATCGCCTCGTCTCTCTGATAGATCGTTAATATCTTCCCTATCAATTTTCCAGGGTTATTTCAGGTTAAGGTGAAGATGAAAATAAGTAACATCTCAGATCTGACAAAATTTTACAAAAGTATGTAATGGCGTTGGGATGCAGGAGGCAAGAGTCAAAACGCCAAGTTATAATAGTAGAATGATAAAGATCGCCCCACATGATTGATTGTCTTTGCTGCCATTTCACTATCTAAACTTCAGTCCTAAAAGAGAAGCAGACATGCCGCTGCCTCACTGCTTGCTCAGTTTCTCTTTCGCCCACAAAGAGGGATCCCAGGTGAGAAGCAGGACTCCTGTCCGGGGCTGTCAGGGGTCAGGGGCACACACTGCCACAGTCCTCTTGTCAGGAGAACTTAACCGGAACACTGGCAAGGTGAGAAACTAGAGTACAGTCAAATCCCACATTTTTCTGAAATATACTTTAGGGGGAAAACTTTTCTGGAAATTTCAGAGGAATCCATATTCAAATCAACAGGGTTGCATCTTACCGATTTGTTATAACATCATCCCAGATGCGCATGGGGTCCATTTTAGGATCAGGGTATCTGCTTTTCCAGGTTTTTAGAAGCCTCTTAAGAGGAATTTTAGATGATAAGTTACCTAAAAAAATATTAAAGAATGACTATTCACTGCCCAATGATTAAGACCAAATGGCAAAGTCATTAGTAAATAAAAACTCAAATTTGTCAGACAAAACAAAAACAAAAAACGTTACTTTTTTTTCTACAAAAGGAACATAAAGTTTATAGTACACGATCTAATATACTTTGGCATTAAGCTCAATGGCTAAGGGATGCAAAAGTGGAGAAATAAGCATACGCAATTCATTTACTACATGATGGCGTTTGAGTCAGAAGACCTGGACTCAAAATCTGAATATTCCACTTTAGAATGGCTTAAGCCATTCTTGTAATCTCTCTAAGCCACTATAAAATGGTGATTTAAAAATCTGAGTGATATAGAGAGTACCATAGCTCTTAGAAAATTATTGATACCCAAAAAATCAAAACAAAAACAACAAAAAAAAGAAAATTATTGATACCTCATTAATGAAACATACTTACCAAGTATTTCTACAAGTTACAAAGAGTACAATTATGGAGGTAGAAATGAATGCCAATTTTCTGAAAACTCTTTCATAATAATTATATTTAACTACTTAGGAAAAAATTAAAATTCGGATGTACAACTAAGAAATTTGATTATGCAAAGACTTACTCTTTCCCTTTGAGTCTTAGATAAAATCTAGTTCTCTCAACACAAAGATCTTTGTGGTAGGCGCACTGATACTGGAGCCCCACCACCCTTCAGGTCCAAGGCACTGGCACCAGTTACAGACCCACTGGCACCTCTCGTGGCACTTCGGACAGCACTCTGCAAATCCCACTCCTCAGCACACAACGCAGAACTCTCCCTCCTCCTCCTCGTCCTCCTTCTCCTCGCTGACCTCACGCCAAGTCAGGCTTCCTCCCATGGTCTACCACATGCGCACTCGCCGCTCTCCCGGCAGGAAGCACACTGTGTCAAAACCACTTGCTCGCTTATCTCTTAAGAGTTTTTGCATCCCTAGTGCCTACAATAGTGTTCGGCCATTGTAAACAAGTATTTCTTTCAATGACCTCAAAACTTAAATGTATTGAACTCCAAATGGTTTCTAACCTACCTATTCACTGAGCTGAAAACCAGATGTTAAAACTCTTTCACACTTACAAAAGAAGAAAACAACAGTATGTTAAATTTTACCTGGATTGCTTATAAAGCTGATAAACTCCTGGATTTCCGCTAATACCTGTACAGACTGTAATTTGGTGAGTCTACTTCTGTGTAAGAGAGCATCGACACTAGAATACGTCTAGGGGGAAAAAACATGATTATCTTTCAAGTTACTACTTCAGTTTCTTTAAAACAAAACTGAGGTTAAAATTCACATAAAATTAGCTATTTAAAAGTGAACAATTCAGCAGCTTTTAGTACAGTCCAGGGATAGCGTAACATTTCCAACATTACAAAGTAAAAACTCTTACTTATTAAGCAGTTTCTCCCCATTGCCTGCCTTCTCAGCCCCTGACAACTTCTGATCTTCTTTCTATATCTATGGATTTATCTATTCAGGATAGTTCATATTAACAAACCATATAATAGATGACCCTTTCTGTCTGGCTGTTTTTATGTGACATAATGTCTGCAAAATTCATCGGTGTTCTGCAGCAGAACTTTATTTTTCCTTTTGGAGAAGTGATCTTCCACGGAATGGCTAGAAGACAATCTGCCTATCCATGCATGCACGGTGAACATTAGGCTCTTTCCTCGGGGCTGTTTTAAACAGTGCGGTTCGGAACATGTGTGTAAACATGTACTTTCTTGAGTTCCCATTTTCAGTTCTCTGGGGTAAAAGACCTAAGAGTGGAATGGTGGCACATCCGTTAATTTTAAGTTTAACCGAGTGAAGAACACTCAAATGGTTTTCCATGGCCTCTGCACCATGTGATAGTCCCACCACCAACACACCAGGGTTCCCATGTCTCCACTTCCTCTTGCGGCTGTTGTTCTAGCCAGTCACTTTCCTAATGGCCCGTGCTGTTGAGCACCTTTTTATGGACTTTTCCAATCGTGTTTCTACTGTGTCTGAAAGAATGGATACTCTAGATCTTGGTCCATTTTAAAACTGAGTTGCTGATATTTTTGTCAGTGAGTTCTAAGAGTCTTAATATATTTTGGATGCTAGGTCTTTATCGAAAATGTGATTTGCAAGTATTTTCTGCCTTTCTCTAGGTTGTCTCTTCACTCTTGTGACAATGTACTTTAATTATTAAAAAGTTATTAATAGATTAAGTCCAAGGTATGTTTTGTTGTTGCTGCTCATGATTTTGGTGTCATATCCACGTACCACACTATTTAAACTTAAAAAAAGATAGTTCTCCAAAACATAAAATACATCAGTTACTCTACAAATATACTGATTTAACCAATGTACTTCAAACAATTAATAACTAGGTGATTGATGCAATCAGTAAATAGGTTATTATTGTTTTAAAAGATTTTATTGGGGGCTCTTATAACAATCCATATGCCAATTGTATTAAGCATATTTATACATATGTTGCCATCATTATTTTATAAACATTTACTTTCTATTTGAGCCCTTGGCATCAGCTCCTCTATTTTCCCCCTCTTCCCACCCTCCCACCCTCATGACTCCTTGATAAATTATAAATTATTATTTTCATATCTTATACCAAATGCTGTCTCCCTTCCCCCATGGTTTCTGTTGTTCGTCCCCCTTGGGAGGGGTGAGGT